TCCAAATTTTGTCCCTCCAGTCCCAAGAGGCTATCCAAAGCAAAGGCCAGCCCTGTCTCTGAACTTTTCCTGCCCTCTGCCCTCCTCTCTCTCAGTCCCACTCTCCCCGGAGCTAGCCATAGAAATTAGACTCTTTCCTCTCCAAGCCAGGTCATAGAAACCAACCCCTTTTCCTCAAAGCCAGCCCTAAAACCTGAAAATATTACTCTAACTTTCCCTCTGCCTTTCTGTGTAAAAACTGGCTGTAAAGAAATTATCCGACCTACCTTGTTTGGCTGTAGGTCCTTGTTTGGCCCATTCCAGATAGGGCCCTGCCCCACACCCAGAGGAAGGAATGCTGCCCAGAGAGGCCGAGAACAATCTACACAGACAGGCCTTGCTGGTTTCCCTGCTCAGTCTGTTAAGCATTAGATCATCCTCTTTTTATCCAACCATATTCCTACACAGCTGTCCATACTTCGTTAAACCTAAGAATAAAAATGGATAATTTCCCTTATATCTTTGGGTCTTCATTCTGAAGGCTCCTGTGCACATATTATATAAATAAATTTGCATGCCTTTCCTCCAATTAATATGCCTTTCGTTATTTGATTTTTCAGCCAACTTTCAGAGGGTAAAAGGGAAGTTTTTCCTTGGCTCCTACAACGTCCTTCCCTCTCCATCTCCATTCTACCATCCTCGTCCAAGCTGTCATCACCATTTTCCTGGACCACTGTAATAGCCTTATGAGTAGTTTTCCTGCATCCAGCCTTGTCCCCTTACAACCTGTTTCTCATGCTACAACTGATCAAATTTTAGAAGCACAACTTTCTGTCATCCAGCCATGCTGACTTTCATTCTTTTAGGTCCTCACACCACAGGGCCTTTGCACAGACTCTGCCTACTTGATAGAAGGTGGTTTTTACCCTCCCTACTTCTTGTAAATAGCTCCTCCTTACCTTTATTATATTTTTTAATATTTTTTTTTATTTCAGCATATTATGGGGATACAAATTTTAAGGTTTCAAATAATGCCCTTTCCCCCCACATGTCTGAGTTTCCAGCATGACCATCCCCTGACGGTGCACATGTCACTCATTATGTCTGTATATACCCGCCCCCTCCCCCTCCCACCTGCCCAATACCCAATTACTATAGTTCCTATGTGTCCACTTCCTACTTACCTTTAGATCTCAGCTCAGTCTTTACCGTTTTAGAGACACTTTCCTTAACCATAGGAAAATTTCCCGTTATAGGTTATCATAACACCACACACCTCTCTTTCATATTAATAGCAGTCATCACCACTGCCATGTTATTTGAAGGATATTTGCGTATTGGCTTCTCTCACTATAATGTAAGCATCCTGAAGGTGGAGATCTTTTTTGGCTCACTGTTGCATTCCCAGCATGCAGGATAGTGCCTGGCACTTGGCGGTACTCAATTAGTACTGCTAAGTGAGTAAATGAATGAAAACATGCATGAACAAATGAGTGCCTTGCAGGGGTGGGGAAGCTGCGGCCTTCTGAGTTCAAGATTGCTCTTTTGCAAGCACCATAGGATGCAAGAAAAGCTTCATTTTTCTCTGCTGAGCCCCTTTTAGTAACAGGATTTGTTCTGTAAAATTTGGATTCAGTCAAGAAGCTGCACTTAAGGACCTGGAAGGCCACATGTCGGCTTAAGGCTGTGGGTTTCCTAGCCCTGTTTATTCACACCTCACAAGTTCCAAACCACACAACTCTGGGGGATGCGTGTGGTGGGCCTGAAAAGTGGTGACTTCTCACATTGGTGGTTTCCTTTGCCTGCAGGTTGAGCTCAGGAGTGGGAAGCCTCTTTCTGCAGCTGGAACAGAATTTATTGAGTGTCCAGACTCCAGATCTGCTGTCTTCCTGGTGCCCACTTTGATTGCTAGTTTTTTGTTTTTTTTAAAAAGTATGATTGATCCTAATTATTTACCATCTGAATTGGCTCTGAAGAGACGCAATGCATTCTAAAGCCCAGCAGTTGACACTCTGCCCCCACACCCCAATCTTGACACAGTGACACCCCCCCAGCTTCAAGCGGCCCTCTCTGCAGAAGAGTCATCTTTTCCCCACCATTTCACACTTGCACTCAGAGGCCCTTTCCATCCTCCCCCACTGCACCATCACCATGAGGGGCTCAGACTTTCCTGTCGGTCCCCCATTGTGGGCAACACCTCTTTTTTTCTAACTGAACATCTATTTAAAACTTCTTCCATGCTATCATGTAATACGTACTTTCTCACTAAAGAAACTTTGGAAAATGAAAACAAGTAGAAAAACCCAAGTCACCTAAGATTTTACACTCCCCAAATAAATCATGTTAACATTTTGATGTATTTTCTTCCATCCGTGCATAGATGGTTTTTAAACACAGTTGTAATTATATAGTATGTGAAATTTTACATTCTACCTTTTTCACTGATGATGTCTTAACATTTACTAGCTTTAGAACCCATAATTATTTTTCTAATTTGAGAATTTAATATATAAATGAGAAACAGATGAAAGAAAACAAAACTTAGATACTCTGAGTTCTAATTTTGTCTCTGTCATGTTCATTGTACAGCTACAGACAGGATACTCAACACTTTGAGGGGACGGTTTCCTCCTTTGAAAAAGTGTTATGCTACCACAGTGGAATAGAATGTCACTTTTGCAAATTAAAACCCAATGAAAACAAAGTACCATAGAAATGTAAAATAACATTTACATGTAATGAATTGATTTGGGGTTATTTTATCTTCTACTTTTAAAGCAAATTTTGTTAAATGGGGAAAAAAATCTCAATTCATTCTTATTTTTAAAACTTGGCGAGGAAGGAAATAGCAGAGGATGTAAACAGGTGGAAAACCATGCCATGTTCATGGGTCGGCACAATCAACATTGTTAATATGTCTATACTACCCAAAGCGATCTACAGATTCAATGCAATCCCTATTAAAATACCAACATCATGTTTCACAGATATAGAAAAAATAATTTTACGCTTCTCGTGGAACCAGAGAAGACCCTGTAGAGCAAAAGCAATCTGAGGCAATAAAAACAAAATAGGAGGTATCAATTTACTAGACTTCAAATTATACTACAAGGCTATAGTCATTAAAACAGCTTGGGACTGGCATAAAAGTAGGGACATTGACCAGTGGAACAGAACTGAGAACCCAGATATAGAACCATCCTCATATAGTCATCTAATCTTTGACAAAGCAGACAAATATACACTGGGGGAAAGAATCCTTGTTCAATAAATGGTGCTGGTAAAACTAGGTAGCCACATGTAGAAGACTGAAACAGGATCCACACATTTCACCTCTCACAAAACTCAACTCATAGTGGGTAACAGACTTAAGCCTAAGGCATGAAACTATTAGAATTCTAAAAGAAAATGCTGGAAAAACTCTTCTAGACATTGGGCTAGGCAAAGAATTTATGAAGAAGACAAAGGCAATCACAGCAACAAAAAAAGTATATAAATGGGACCTGATCAAATTCAAAGCTTCTGCACAGCCAAAGAAACTGTCACGAGAGCAAACAGACAACCTACAGAATGGGAGAAAATTTTTGCAAGCTACACATCTGATAAAGGGCTGATAACTAGAATCTATTTAGAACTCAGGAAAATCAGCAAGAAAAAATCAAACAACTCTATCAAAAAGTGGGCAAAGGACATGAACAGAAACTTTTCAAAAGAAGACAGAAATATGGCCAAGAAACATATGAAAAAATGCTCAACATTTCTAATCATCAGGGAAATGCAAATGAAAACCACAATGAAATATCACTTATCTCCAGTGAGAATGGCTTTTATCAAAAAGTCCCAAAACAATAAATGTTGGCATGGATGGGGAGAGACAGAAACACTCCTACACTGCTGGTGGGACTGCAAACTAGTGCAACCTCTGTGGAAAGCAATATGGAAATATCTTAAAGAGATACAAGTAGATCTACCATCCAACAATCCCATTACTGGGAAATATCTTAAAGAGATACAAGTAGATCTACCATCCAACAATCCCCTACTTGATCCAACAATCCCATTACTGGGCATCTACCCAAAAGAAAAAAAGACATTCTGTAAAAAAGACATCTGCACTCGAATGTTTATAGCAGCACAATTCACAATTGCAAAGATGTGGAAACAACTCAAATGTCTATCAATACATGAGTCGATTAATAAAATGTGGTATATGTATACCATGGAGTACTACTCAGCTACAAGAAACAATAGTGATATAGCACCTCTTGTATTTTCCTAGATAGAGCTGGAACCCATTCTACTAAGTGAAGTATTCCAAGAATGGAAAAATAAGCACCATATGTACTCACCATCAAATTGGTTTTAACTGATCAACACCTAAGTGCACATATAGTAATAACATTTATTGGGTGTTGGGCAAATGGGAGGGGGCAGGAGGGGATGGTATATACATAAATAATGAGTACCATGTGCACCATCTGGAGGATGGACATGCTTGAAGCTCTGACTTGGGTGGGGCAAGGGAAATATATGTAACTTAAACATTTGTACCCCCATAATATGCTGAAATTTAAAAAAAAGGAAGTGAGTTCTATGGAGATTGGGAGATCATGTCCCCATCTTTATTTGCCAGACTGACCTGGCAGAGGTTCTCAATAAATATTTATTTATTTATTTATTTATTTATTTATTTATTTATTTATTTATTTTGAGACAGAGTCTCACTCTGTTGCCTGGGCTAGAGTGCCGTGGTGTTATCCTGGCTCACAGCAACCTCAAACTCCTGGGCTCAAGGAATCCTCCTGCCTCAGCCTCCTGAGTACCTGGGACTAAAGGCATGCACCAACATGCCCAGCTATTTTTTTCTATATATTTTTTCAGTTGACCAGGTAATTTCTTTCTATGTTTAGTAGAGACAGGGTCTCGCTCTTACTCAGGCTGGTCTCGAAATCCTGAGCTCAAACCATCCTCCCGCCTCGGCCTCCCAGAGTGCTAGGATTACAGGCATGAGCCACCACGCCTGGCCTCAATAAATATTTATGTAATGAATTAGCAAACTTTAAAGGTTTGCAAATAACTCCCCCCATCACCCACTATCTGACTCCAAGTCTCTTATATCTAAAACGTGTCTTCAAGCTTGGTTTCTCCATCAACAAGGCCTCTTCATAAGACTTAAGGCCTAGGCATTTCTCTTGCAGCACAAAAGTGTAAATGAAGCTTGGCCAGAGGTCCTTGTCATTGTGGCACACACACTTCTGAGTCTCCGTCTATGGTGCCTGACAAACGTGGTCTTCTACTTAGATCCTCTGCCTTTGTGCACTTTGATTTTCAAGTCCTATGGATTCACACCTGACCCTCTGGGAAACTGTGGTCAGGCCTGCTGCAACTGCCCATGAAAGTGGTACATGAGGAGCCATGTCAAGAGTGTAGAGAGCATGTCAGACCGATCAGTGTAAGCTCAGGGCAGTGCCAGGCACATAGTTGATAAGTCAATGAATAAATCCATTTTTGGCAGCTACATCTGCTTCTGCTGGACATGTATGTCTGTTCTGGTCTTCTTGCCCTCCTGGCAAACAGACTGTTGGGTATATTTCAGACCTGGGTATATTCCTGACTCTTGGGTATATTCCTCCAAGCCCCAGGATGGAATCAGACTCCAGGACCTGACCTGGAGTCATCATTAATATGACAGAGGCTGTCATTTATCCCTGTGACTCTGAATTTACATTTTTACGGAGATGCTTCTAAGCCCTTTTCTTGAGGTTGTCCGCACATCCATAGTCACATTTCCAGGCAGGGATAGTCACACATTTTGGGTGTGAGGAGATTTCTCACTGGTTGGTAGAATTATTAATTCTTAAATCCGAAGGAGTCTAAAGGATGGTTTATTCTGGAAGGAAGTCAGTGTTCCTCATTCTTCCTTAATATTTCTGGTCAAATCAGTGAAGTCTTTTGACTTCTTCTGAAGGTAACACTCGAGGGAGTGGACTGCTGTCTAGATGACATTCTCATAGCTGAACAGCTGGGATGTGCCTGGTGCGGTGGGCAGCGAGTGAGGATCCTCCATCTGCAGGCAGACATAAGGAAGCACAGTGCTGGAGTGGGCAGGGCTCCAGAGCTTCCATGGAGACCCTGCCATCCCAGAAACTCTTTATTTCCAAAGTCACCCAACCCAAACCTTCTGCCATGCTGGCTCCTAATCACGCCTAGCTTAGAGAAACCATTATTTCCGTTTAAGCCATATTTACCTTACCGAATGCTTAATAAACTGAACTTTCCTTGTGATAATTCATCAGAACCAGTCTTTTCGATCACTGAGCAAATGGCTTTAATGATCCCCGGTTTTCAAATCTGACAGAAACATACCATTGCTTCTGCCAAGTGTGATCTGTTAAGGAATAAGCCTTGAAGGGAGTAGTTTAAGTGGGAGGAGCATGCAAACCAGATGTAATGTAGCTAGCCAAAGAAAAATAGCGAAAAATCTCTTCCTCTTCTAGTTTAATGGTGGCTCGGGAGCAAACTGGAGTCTTGCCCTGGCTTCCCTCTCCTCATCCCAGGTACAGCCTGCACCATTCCCTTTTCCTCATCCATGACCTCAGTCAGAAGCCTTTTGATTTTCTCTATAATTCCTATCTTGAACATCTCTCCTATTCTATTTGTTTCAGGTTACCCCCATTTGACTCTTAAAACACAAATTCTCTTCTATTCCCCATATTCTTGTGTAACCCTAAGCAAAGAGAATGGGGAACTCTTGGGGTACCTTTTAATACCAAAGAGTACCAGATCCTCAGAGCACAAGAAATTTTAACCTAAACGTGAACCAGGAAGTGGGATGGAATAATTGAGATGAAACTCAGCTCTTAAGCCTTTTACCTTTTTTGGTATCTGCACAGTGGCATAAAGCGTATTCAGTGGATCTTCCTTTTGAGTAGTTTCCTATTAAAAAAGAAACAACAAACAAAAGAAATCATCACCCACCTCCTAAGTCACATAAGCAGAGAGATATTCAGAATGGAGAGAAGAGAAAGCAGGGAAGTGCTTGTGTTGGTGACTGCTATTATAATAAGTGTTGACACCTTTTTCAGGAAGCCACTGCATTATTCTTTTTTTTTTTTAATTTTTTTTTATCTTTCTCTTATTTAGAATGATTGCCTTTGAGACACTGCATTATTCTTAAACTGTGCTGTGTTTAAATGAATCTCAAAAAATGTATAAGATATATAAGTCTGATATGAACTACAAGCCATGAGCCTCCTAAGGTGGTTAAAGGATAATTTGGAATAATATTGCTGAAACTGTAAATAAACTTTCTCAGCAGTTGAAGGGCCCTTGGGGAAAATCGGTAAGGATGACTGGAGGAACAAAACAAAACAATAACGGTAACAACAATAACGAAATCTCCTTTCCCACTGGAGAAAAATATGCTGGATTGGTTAAGTTTATTCCTGAACATCCAAGGTAGTCCTGCAGCCTCTGGGGATGTGTCTCAAGCAAGGGAAGAGAAAAGATGGTGACAAAGTGATGCATTCTTTTCTTACACCTGCTGAGTGGAGCACAAAGGAATCTCTCCTGTAAGGAAGGAAGGAAGGAGATTCCGGATACTAATGACTTTGAAGAGGAAAAGTAATGTCTCCTCTTTGAAGTGGGTAAATGTAGGTTAATGCTGTAGGTGTATGTAAGAAGATAAAACTTGATCAATAAACATCAAAGGAGTAGAACTGGGGTTTCCAGGCTCCAGTATTTTTATTTCTTCATTAAATGGGCCATTGTGAAAAAGAGCTCTATAACCTCTGAAAGAGCTAGCCCAGCCTGGCTGCAATGACTGGTCCTGGGAAGCCTTTTGAAGTTGTCTACTTACTTCATGTCTCCAAATTGCCTTTTCTTTAGATTTTATTCTTATTATTTTCTTTTCAGAGGGTTTCCTATGAATTACATTTGTGTCCACTCACTTCAGCTCTGTGACCCACACTTGGGAAGCCTTGGGTATAGGCTCAGAGCCACCACAGGCCCTCTAAGCCTTCTCTTGAGAGCTCCTTGAGTCACCACAGAGAGAAAAGGCATCTCTAGAGCAACCAGTCTTCTGACACCGTGACTCCAGCATCATGTCAAAGTCACACTTCTCTACCCACTGTTTCATGCAAAAAGAATATGGCCTTCTGAGTGGCCATCGTGAACTGCAGAGGAAGGCGTGATTCCATGAACCACAGCATGAGCGCCACCGGTTGGGTCAGAACCAGGTGCTCTGAGGCCACCAACTTCTGCACAGAAGAGAATCCATGAAGACTTGGGAAAGACACAAGTGCACTGGGTTTCAAGGGCTATATAGCCTCATCGCCCTCCCCATTCCCATGTTGCCCAAAGCCATGGAAAAATCTCAAGTGAAAAAGGAGAGCCTCAGAGAGAGGATCAGGTCCCAGGAAAGATGAGAAAGGACTCACATCTTTGTAAGAGATTGTGTCGTAGTCTGTGGTCTCTCCAGAATGGGGACAGAAGTTAGGAGTTTCCTGATGAATGTCTGTTTTCTTCTTCTCTTCAATGCACTCTAAAACCAAGTTGGGAGAGAATGAAAGCCTATCTCTCCTACCACTCATCACCCCCACTGGCCCACCATCCCTTCTGGATGGCCCACGCAGGGTGACCAACCCTCCCTGTAACTGAAGGGTTATCTGGGACAGACTTTCAGTACTAAAACTGGGAAAAGTCCAGACACACCAGGATGAATTTGTGATCCTTGTCACTTTACTTCCTGATCTCTGGACAAAGGTGGCCAAAGTGGGCTGCAGAAAGGTCAGAAATGCTTTCAGAGGGCTTCCAAGGGGGAAGGGAGGTCTCAAAGTCTGCAGTTCAAACCCAACTCCCCCCCAACACCCCACATGGACAGTGTCAGTGGGAGCCTAAGAAGACAAGCCATGAGGGTTTAGGGACACAGAGCACGGGGTGCAGCTGAAGAGAGTCAGGAAGTGCTTCTCCCGGAGGAACGTGTCTGGACTAAAGTGGGAAGTAAAGAGAGGTCTCAGATTGATTGATTTCATGGAGAGGGCTGGGACAGGTTTCAGGGCTCTCACAGGGGTGAGGATAGGAAGGGCTGACTAGGGGGTGCTGGTCTGTGGGGACCTCAGAATGGGGCCATTGCCTCCTAGGTCAGAGGAGCAGAGTGAGCAGTGCAGGGCCTGTGTCAGAAGAAGGGGCACATTTGTAAGTCCCTCTGGGGGAAAAAGAGGAGTGGGCACTGGAAAGGACACTGGGGGGGCCATGTCCTCAGGAGAGAAGGTGAGGACTCCAGCACTCTCTCTGCTCCAGAGCTAAGGAGCACATGCTGCCCGTGTGCTTCCCAATGGCCTCTTCACCTCTGACCTCGGCACCAGCACGGAGCCTGGCACACAGCTCCATAAATGCTTGTTGAATAAATGCCCCCAGAAAAAGCATGAATGAGGGTAAGGACAAAACTAGTACATGTTCTACCTTTTCCTCTCCCTCTCCGCATAATCAGAAGAACTAGCCACAGTACAAGGAGGCTGAGCGGGATGGACACCAGCAGGATATACAGGAAGATCGTGGAGGAATCTGCGACACCTTTAAAGAAAGAACAGGTGGAGGCATGGGGAAAGGAGAAAAGTCAGCTTGGGGAAATGACCCAACTTTTGGAACACCTTTCACCTTCCTCCCAGCTTGGTGACTTCCCAGAGTGGCCTCCAGTTTTCACACAGGGCCTGTTCCCATGGGGACCAGGATCTGGACAAGGCATAGGTCCTAGGGTCAGAGGCTCCTGTAGAAAGGGGAGAGGCAGTCACCTTCACAGAGCTTCCTGACAAGGATGGGGCTCGAGAACTTGATGCTGATGGGGTTCCTGGCCATGCAGATGAAGGTCATATCCCCTTCCTCTTGTCTCCAGGAGACAGGGAGGATGGAGCCATCAAGGGTCTTGTTGGCTGCTTGCCCCAGGGCCTTCCAGCTGTAAGTCACATCCTCTCCTCCAGTTGCCATAGAGCATGTCAGGTTGGTTGTGCAGGTGCCATTCTTACTGCTTTGCAGACCTATGGTGACTTTGGGCTCTGACAGGTGCTCTGTGAAAGGGAAAGGACAATCAGGGATGGAAACCCTGCCTGTATCTCTCCTTTCTCCGAATTATCCTTGGATACTTTGGACCTGAATCACCCTGGGAGCTCCAGAATGGAGAGGAAGCAGCAATTCAGAGCATAATTCTCATTCTTATCTGGGAAAGGGAACTATCTAGGTCTGCTTGCCCACAGCTATGTAATAATATTAATAATAATAACAGTAACAGTAACAACAAAACAACAATAATAGAAAAAATAATGCAACAAGAACATAGCTGCCACCAAGCAGAGCCACATGGCAAGCACTGTGCTAAATACATTTTAAATGCCAGCTAATTTTATCTCTTTTATAGGTTCATTATTCCTTGTCCTCAGACTTCCTTTAAGAGACTTTCGCTTTTCTTCCCCAGGAGAGAATAATATTAAAACAACACTTTTAGTCCCCCTCTCTATCGTGTGCTCACACCCCGCCCTCAGAGGATGAGCAGTTGGTTCATTGGTGAGATGATCAGAGTCTGATATCTACCAACTACCTTCTTCCCGCATGGGTTTGAGCTGTTAAAGACTGCTGTTCAAATGTGGTTTGCCCTTTTCCTTCCTCCCCCAGCTGGTGAGCCTGAAGACCATATGTCTTCTGCTCAGATACACATGTATAACCATGTGTATATGTGATCAGCTGCCTGGCCTACCTCCTACAAGCGAGTCTAGAGGCCCATCTCTCCTTATGGCCCTGACCTTGTGGCTCAGTAAGGGAGGCAGCCATTCTCCTTGTAGCTGATTGAACAACTGTCTCGTAATTTCAGCTTCCCTGGATGGGCGCCAAGCTCCAGGCCTGGTGGGGAGGTGTGTCTCCTATCTAGCTTTATCAGAAATAAAGCTGATATTTTCATCTTCTTTCTGATTCTGGTGTCTATCAATTGGCTGGAATCTGCAGAAGAAGGGGTGTGATGGTTCCTTATACCAAATAATTTTCCTAAAATAGGCATTGCTTTTCTCTCCATTACAGATATGGAAACTAAGGCTCAAAGAAATTAAGTGACTTGGCTAAAGTCTTGCAACTGGTAAGTAGAGAAGCCGGCATTTGACCTAGATCTACGTGATTGCCACTTACGTGGCCCACCCACCATACCACATTACTTCTTACAGTATCTCTCAGTAGGCAGGGACCCCAGGGCTCAGCTACATCGACTTCATCCATGCAGGAGTCTCCTCTCCCACATTCTTGCCAAGTGTTCGTCCAGCCTTGGCTGGAATGTCTCCCGTGTCGGGGAGCTCACCACCTCACCAAGGCAGCCATCCGCCATCAGAGCTGATTCTACTCACCATAGACACGCAGCACATAGTTCTGGGTGATGGGGGACGGGGAGAATGAACCGTATATCTCCACATGGTAGACACCCGAGTCATTCTTCATCAGTTTGCTGAGCTTCAGGGAGTGGCCTTTACCTAGGAACTCCATCCTTTCCTTATTGCGACTTTGGGTCACGATGGCATTGACTTTTTCGTCTCCCATTGGCTGTACGCTGACAAGACTAGTTTTGTTAAAGGTCCAGACAATACTGTCAGCCTGCTTTTCTGTGACATTTAGGGGAAAAGTCACAGACCCACCAAGGGCACCGACCAGCTCTTTCAGGGCTCCAGAGGCTGCTGACCCTGCAGACACAGAGAACCATAAAATAAGCTCAAGTCCTTGCCCTTGTCACCAATTACCCCCTTTGGGTCCTGGGAAGATCCCAAGAAACCCACTCAGTTCCACACAATCAGCCCCTGGGAAACCCTTCAGAACCTCTCTCACGTGAAAGCACTGAGACCAGAACTTTCTACCTGGAAAGGTGACTTCAGGTGACCCTCCCCCACTTTTCCCAAAGACCTCTGTGGCTGGAAAGGCCAAGGTCTGAGGTAGAGCTGAAAGTCCAGCTCCATCTTTAACAGGTACCTGTGAGGGGACCTTTGACAGAGGGGACAAGTGGAGAAGTTACTGCCCAAGTCTCCCTTAGGACTGCCAGACGGTGCCTAAGAGAGCCTTGTCTGAAGCCAATGAAAGGCTTGCTTGACCTGGGGCAGTGGTTCTTAGGATCAGGACGTAGGGAGGCGAGCTGTGTGTTCCTAATAATAATGATAGCTTAGAAATTCGAGCATGATTTGTCTTTCTATTTTATAGCAGATTAGAGTAGATTCAAGGTCATCCCCAAGTGAGATTCTCATTCACTTGCACCCTGATATGCTTCCTTGAGTGGGAAGGGAAAAAAGTGAGTGACAGGGAGCTCTGCAATATGTCCAGGCTAACTTGTGATGCTCACCACAGACTATTAGGAATTGTAGTAGCGTTTTACTTCCATGAGAAATTTTTGTTTCACCATGATCTTAGTTTACCCCAGAGAGCATGTCCTGTAAACAATCACCATGGGTTGGTTATGTGGCTCTAGGTGAAAAACTGTTCAGAATAGCAGCTGAAGAAACTCCCAGAGGTGTTAAACTGAGCCCCTCCAGTGAATAGGTGTGGAGAATGACTCATCTTCTACCCATTAAAATCTGAGAGGCAGACTCTCCAGACAGCACAGAGAAGTGAGAGAATTTAGATTGGGACTAACAGTCTAAAAACATCTACGGTGAGCTTGTTTAACTCTTGAAACAACCCTTAGAGGAAGGATTCTTATACCCCCATCTTACAGATCAAGAACCTGAGGCACAGTGGGGTTAAGTGACTAATCAAACTGCAGAGTCAGCAGGTGGCAGAGCACATATCAGTGTCCACAGGGGTGAGACCTTAAAGGGCATATTTTGCAGATGAAAAAACTAAGTACCAGAGACAGAAAGAATTTATTCAAGGCTGATAGAAATGGCAACACTAAAATTAAACCTTTAAATGTGTTCTTAAAAGTACAAAACCCAAAGTTATTTCCCCTCCTGACTCCTAAGATAATGTGTCTAGTTGAAATTAAAAACCCAGCAAAACAGCCAAGCCATAGAATCCTGACAGTTGTGTTATAATGATGCCACTGCAACTCTATGTTAGGCCTTCTGTGGATACTATGCACTTTTGCTTAAATATTAAAATTATATTTTATATAATTAAATATTAAAATTATGTTTTATATAATTAAAATTATTAAAATATTATTTAAAATATTAAAAGATTATTTGCTGAAATATTAAAATTATATTTTATGACCATGTTGGTATATAAAATATACAAAATATTTATTAAAAATATATAAAAAACATATATAAAATATATAAATAAATATAAATATACATAAATATATATTTTATGTATAAAATATATAAAAATTTTGTAATAAAATAATTATATATAATATAATTATATTATTTTATTATATATAATATACATTTTATTATAATTATTTTATTATAATAAAATAATAATAAAAAATGCAGGCCGGGTGTGGTGGCTCACGCCTGTAATCCTAGCACTCTGGGAGGCCAAGGCAGGAGGATTGCTCGAGGTTAGGAGTTCGAAACCAGCCTGAGCGAGACCCTGTCTCTACTAAAAATAGAAAGAAATTAATTGACCAACTAAAATATATATATAGAAAAAATTAGCCGGGCATGGTGGCGCATGCCGGTAGTCCCAGCTGCTCGGGAGGCTGAGGCAGAAGGATTGCTTGAGCCCAGGAGTTTGAGGTTGCTGTGAGCTAGGCTGATGCCATGGCACTCACTCTAGACTGGGCAACAAAGTGAGACTCTGTCTCAAAAAAAAAAAAAATAATAATAAATGTTATAATAAAAATATTATATATAATATATAAAATACTATATAAAAATTATGTGAAATATAATATATTATGTAAAATATAATAAAATTTAAATTTATATATAAAATACAAATTTATATGTAAAAATATATAAATATAAATAAAATATATAAAATTATATTTTATGACAATGTTGATATAAAAATGAATTTAATCCAGGCTGGATTCATTATATATTCAGTCTTATTATTGTTATTATATTCATTTTTCTGGCTTGCTACAGAAAAAGTTTGCTAATTCCTGATTTAATGAGAAAACTGAGATTCAAAGAAAACCTAAATAACTTATCCAAGGGCACAAAACTAGTTAGGTGATGATTTGAGGATTTAACCGATATCACTCCAGTTCTGGGACCTGGACTCTTTCCACTATGGCTCAATTTGAAAGTCCCTGGCATTTGTACCAACTCCAGCCCACTCCCTCACTCCTCTTCCCCAAACTCTTAAGGGGCTCAGGTGTCAACTCCAAAGCCCTTGGGCCCCATTGAGTCTCAATTCCCTTTATGTCCTTTGGTGACCTTCTCTTAAACATAAGTTACTGTGTCAGTACCTCGGGTGAGGAAACCTGATCCTACCAAATGTTGATCTACTCCCTTGATTACAGGTTTGAGGTCTCTGCCAACTTTTTACTAAATTTATCTCCAAAAGTACTGATTTCTCTTCATAGGTAAATATCCTTTAGGAGCTGACTTCTATTTTCAATCATTTTCCTCCTATAATGTATCAGTTTGTGCATATATACTTTGGATCACTCAAGCCTTTATCAGATCATCCTGTTAATTAATCTGAGTTTTAAAAAAGCTGTCCTCTCTACTTCCCTAATATTAAGGTCAGGATGGTTTCTGACTACTCTAGTCCCAGTAGATACTACAGAAAAAATCGATTTTATTTAGTCAATCAATTAATTAATACATTCATTCTTTTACTTCAACAATAGAGATGGAAAGGGTGAACATCTTAAAGTCAAATAAAGATGGGTATTACTTGTCCCCAAGTGGGTGCAATCCCTAGACTTAGGTCAATCTTCAAGCAATTTTGTTTTCATATCAGGTTTTGGAGAGGTGTTTTAAGGTGGTGGCGTTAGCTCATTAGCATGTGTGCATGTGTGTATTTAAGCTGTGAGCAATTAGTCTTTTCATCCTTCCACACATACAGTGTTACATTCTCGGGGTAAATGCCAAGAGATGCGAATTGTGTGGGGGTGTAAGAAAAGCCTTGTTCCTTCTTAGAATGAAAGTCACTATTCCTTGTTGGAATGAAATTCACTGTTCCTCGTTAGAATGAAACTGGAGGATGACATAGGCCTAGATGGAGTATACTGTTCTATCTGAAGTGTATCTTCAGGGTAAGAAGAGGTGTAATAAAAGAAGACAGCAGCTCCATGACATTCTCTAAGGTGGGTTTAGAGGATAGGGGGCAGGGTTGGAGAGCCCAAACTAGTTTTGTTTCTTCTTCCCAGTTGACCACGTAAGAGAAACAAGACAGAAACAAGACATTTCTCTTTTCAGCTGTCCAAGGCTGAATTGCGGATCCGCTTTCTGTGATGGTTTGGCACCTGCAATGTGTGATACTGTAGAGTCTTATCATATCTAAGCAGGTCATACTTGTCTCAGCCATTCCTTCCTTCAACAAGAATTTGTTTAGTTTGTTAGGAGCTGAGGATACAACTAGGGGGCAAGACAGTCACGATTCTTGCGCTCATGGAGTTGGGGGACAGTCATTTAATAAGTAACTGCGTGTGTTATGAAAAGGGAAATAACAGGCACTGTGGGCACATACAATGGGGGGACTTAAAAGGATCTGTGGGATCAGAAGACACTCTGGAGAATGAGTGGCTGCCAACATCTGCCTACCAAGCACCGGAGGATTGGGACTCGTGAGTTTCATCCACCCTCCTCCTATGTCCACCTGCCACCTAAGTCAGTGCAATGAATGTTGTGACTTGCCTTCATTTCATCCATTTCACCATATCATCTAATGCTTTGGGTAAGAATGACCAACACCGGCTCAAGTGGTAGCCTCCTCTGGCACAGTAATTAGCTCAGGGGTGTCTTATGACCTGGGTTGATCGTGTCTGGGAGAAACCCAGGGCATTTGCTTTAAGGCCAGGGTGAGGACACAATGCCACGAAAGGATGCAAAGTGGCGGACTGCTGCCCACCCACTGTGGCCAGACAAGCAGCCAGGCCTCCACCCTCTCTGGGCCTCAGTTCACTCTCTACCTCATGCTGTTGTTTGTGCTTTGTCCTCCTCTCTGTCCATCTAAATTTCATTCAAAGCCCCTGAAGCCTAAATCAAAGCCTTTCCCTGGGGAAGTCTCCTACTCTTCCTCACACCCATACCTTGAAAATTTACCGCTAATGTCATTTCATTCTCATTTTAAATTCTCCATAAAGAAATCCCCCCTGGGTGGTGATTGGGTGTACCATCTTGCTGTGAATTAGCCAATGAGTGATCTGTAAGGATTAGGTCCCAGATCATTGGTGACGGAGTCATGGGGTCCTGCCCAGAGAGGGGTGGAGATGGCTTCTCCTCCTCCCAGCATGCAGCTGTGGGAAAAAGGGCTCTGGCTGACTGGGAGTCAGGACACCTGGGTCCATGCTGGTCCCTCCATCGTCGTAACTCCAGCAGCAAACACCTGGCATCACCCTGCAGTTTGCAAACCAGTGGAGTGGGCATTACCTCTCTCCATCCTTAGAACAGCTCCAGGAGATAGAGGTCAACCTCTAAGGCCCAAAGAAGAAGTGGCAGACATGGAGGGAGAACTTAGTTAGTTTCTCTGCCTCATAGGTCTGTCTTCTTTCCACCACACCCTCACCACTTACCGCTTCGAGTTTTCATTTCTGAACTCCCACAGGGGAAAAACAACACCTTTATTTGCCCTAAAATTGGGGAAAATGAAGTGTGAATGTGGATTTGAAAGCGTTTTGAGAAGTACAGAGCAGCCTAACAACACGAAGTGAGGCTGGGGGCAAGGGCCGCAGGCGTTATCATGAGTCAGGCCTTGAAGAGGCTTCCCACTTTGGGGGTTTATTTCTGCCAGGAAGGCTAAAAATGAGAAACTGACATTTCCCAAAACACTTTTGGATGGCTTACCAGCAAGGTGAGCCAAAAGGTTAAGACGGCAGTGAACACCCCCTCCTCCCCCCAGCCAACCTGCCGCTGGGGCAGGAGACCCTTTGCCTTCTGCCCTGGTCAAGACTCAGGTGCTCTGGCATCGGGAGAGTCGGCTCTGAGATGCCTTCCATAACAGGAAGGGACAACAGCTTCTCCCCCTTGCCACCTCCCTTTCCTCTGGGTTGTCAACTCCTCTTTGCTTCCTGTCCCCTAAAGTCTCAAGAGTTGAGTGGAAGGAAGGAGCCATATTACGAGGAAGGCGCATTATCAGTGCAGCCAGAACCAAAGGGCGGTGATGCAGCAGGGAGACTGAGGGCAGGGGGGAGTGGAAAGCCCAGCTCCTGCCCGTCAGTCCTGTCCCCAGGCACCTCTCCCAGCACTTGGTGCCTCTGTCAGAAGGCACCAGAGTGTTGTGGCACCTTCCTCACGGAAACCTGGACCAGAGCACCTCGGATCGGGAGGAATCCTAAGGATTACGTAGTCCAATCCCACTTCCCAGATGAAGCGGCCGACGTTCAGAGGGTTATGGTGATGTCCCCAAGTCAGAGGACGGCCAGGATCTGGAGCCTGGCTCCTGAGGCAGGATTTCCCAAACTGCCTCCACCACCTGTGGAGTCTGTGCTGGTGCCTTGGTGTATTTCTGGGGAGCTCAGGGGGAGGCCTAAGGGTGGCAGGAGGTGACAGGGGCAGACTGTGGGACTTGCTTTCATCACAGAAGCTTTAACATTAGCGTCATTGTGTGGTTGTTTCTGTGTAATATCTCATTTCCTAAAAGGAAACCACAGTTTTAAAAAAAAGCAAAATGGTTTGGAAGTTACTGCTCTTTACCCAACTTCTCCTTAACTAACATGCCCTGGAATGAGCGCTGTAAATCAATGCTGTGCGAGACGCACACAGGATGGAGATTTGCAAACCTCCCGCTTCACCACACACCTTTCCCAAAACTGTAACCCTAATCTACCACGTTCACATTCAATCTCCCCACCACTCTGCTCCTCACTCATCTTCTGCCCTTTGTTTCTTCTGGTTCTTTTCAACACTCCCCCAGAAACCCCCTCGCTCATTTCTTGTGTTTTCCTTTTAGTAATTGTCTCCTCAACACTACCGTAACACTTAATCATCATAAAATATGTGAGGGGGGGGACAGATTATTGTGCCCATTTTGCAGATGGAAATACTGAGGTCACGAGAGCTGCACCTTGGCCCCTCTGAACTTGGCCAGGGTGATTCCCTGTTGGTGCATTCACATCCCAGAAGCAGAGCTACCTGTTCTTCTTAAGCCTTTCTAGTTCCTACCTTGCACTTGTGTGCCTGCAGAGAGAAGAAATCCCAGCTGGCTCTCGCAGTTGATGATTCAGCTCAAATACACATTTATTGAGCACCTCTCTGGTGTCAGGTACAGTGTTAGGCAGTTTGGTATGATAAAAAGAACACCAGCTTTGGAAACTCAATCTCTTCTCTACCTTAAGAGAGCTGTGTAATCTTGCCCAAGAAACTTGATCTTTCTGAGCCTACATTTCCTTATCTGTAAAACAAGGATTATAGTATCTGTCTTACAGATTTGTGAGGGGATGGTATGAAAAACACCGTGGATGTAGTAGTAGCTTAATAAACAGTTATTTTATGATTACTATTTGCATTTGATATGTCATTTAAAACATCACAACAATTCTGCAAGTTAGATTTCATTGTCTGTTATGCTTTTGAGAAGAGCAAGGCTCAAAAGATGAGTAAGGCCGGGCGTGGTGGCTCACGCCTGTAATCCTAGCTCTCTGGGAGGCCGGGGAGGACGGATTGCTCAAGGTCAGGAGTTCAAAACCAGCCTGAGCAAGAGCGAGACCCCATCTCTACTATAAATAGAAAGAAATTAATTGGCCAACTGATATGTATATAAAAAATTAGCCAGGCATGGTGGTGCATGCCTGTAGTCCCAGCTACTCGGAAGGCTGAGGCAGGAGGATCGCTCGAGCCCAGGAGTTTGAGGTTGCTGTGAGCTAGCCTGACGCCATGGCACTCACTCTAGCCTGGACAACAAAGCGAGACTCTGTCTCAAAAAAAAAAAGATGAGTAAGATGCTCACAATGATACAGCTATTAAGTCAAATGCAAGATGTCTTTGTCCATGGCCACAACTCCTTCCACCGCTCTGCCCACTGGAGGTTCTAGGGCAATCTCTGACTCCTTTTGGCCATACGCAGTGTACCACACGGACTTCCCACAGCCTCCAGGAGTGGGGCACAGGGGACCCTCATGGCAGAGAGTCACAAATGCACTCCGCTGCCATGGTTCAGGTTTCAGGTGAGAGCCTGGGGCTTTCAAAAGCTCTGCCATGCCCTGCCCCCCCCTCACCCCCCTCAAGCTCTATTTTTGATCACCATTTCTGTTCAGGAAGTGGTTTTTAATAGGAGAGTCTATTCCAGGACCACCTGCTTAGAATCAGGTGCTTATGCAAAATTCTGATGAATTCAAGAGTATTCATTCAGTATTAAGAGCTGCTGATACTGACCACATAGAGAGGCCAGGTGATAGGGAGGGGAGGATGGGGGCCCAACTGCCTGTGTGGTCACTTCAAACAGCTTGGGCACACAGAATGAACCAGTTGTGCCAAGTCCTCAGAGGGCTACCTCATGGTGGGACTCCATGAGTACGATGACAGGAGGGACTTTTCTCATTTATGGGGCCCCTGATCCTTTCTAAGAGCCCTTAGAATAGAAAAATCTTCAAAGATTAGAATACCTGTGACAGCCTAACACTCTGGGAGGCAGAGGCAGGAGGATCATTTGAGGTCAGGAGTTTGAGACCAGCCTGAGCAACAGCGAGACCCTGTCTCTACTAAAAATAGAAAAATTAGCTTGGTGTGCTGACACAAGCCTGTAGTCCCCACTAGTCAGGAGGCTGAGGCAGGAGGATCGCTTGAGCCCAGGAGTCTGAGGTTGCTGTAAGCTAGGCTGTTGCCATGGCACTCTAGCCTGGGTGACAGAGCAAGTCTCTGTCTCAAAAACAAACCAAAAAGGAAGAAAAAAAAAAAGAATACCTGTGATAGGTGAACAGTCCTTGGTTCTTTATGCTCCATGGGATTACACAGAAAATACCTATGATATGAGTTGGCTTTCTAAGTGGAGACTGATTATATTCCTTGGGTTAAGAAAGAAAATTCAAGCAATTCTTTCTATTTATATCATTGTTATGCATAACCTATTAAAATGTATTTATAAATATATTTAAATTAAAATAGATATGTAAACGAATAAATACACACTTGTACAATCTCACTTTCTTTTTAAAGCTGCCCTCAAAAAGAGAGATGGCTGGAAGATAAAGTCTCTAAGGCTCAGGAAAGCTTTGCCATTTCTCATTTAATTCATGGCAGACTCTGGATTAGAAAACAGGTCTTCTGACGCCCAGCACCACTTCTTTCAGCACTTCCTTCCCTGGGACAGGCAGAAGGGGAGTTGGTTCACAGAGCCATTCCTTCCCCTCTCCCTCCAGTCTCTTTCTGCTCTCTGTGATTCAGAGACCATAGGTTGGTAGAAAGCAATGTCAGATGAGAAAGCAGAGCCTCCTGAGTTGAGGCAGAGATCCAGAGTGGAACTAGGAGCCTGGAGGTACATTTCAGAGGCAGACAGTCAGGAGAATAGAAGAGAATCTGGTAGGACTCACCTGTGAGCTGCCAGAGGAGAGAGATGAGGACAAGGCATATTGAGGAGCCAGGCATATCGTTCTCTGAACGTCAGTCACTTAAAGGAAACTACTTCCCTCTCGTATTGCTCCAATCTCTTCTCTAGCTGGGGTTTTAAAAAAGGGGGGGCGGGGTCATGGCTTGACATGTGTGATTGAGTCATCTCTAGTTTACTTAATGGCTTATCTCAGTGGCAAGCATGTAATATTAATAGGTGTCTAATAAGGAAGGAAAAAATGAATTGACCCACAAAGGTGATGGTACCCCATTTTACAGATAAAGGATCACAGACTCAGAGAGAGGTTAGGAATTGATCAAGGCCATATGGTCTACCTTTTCTGCTATACCACATGACTAACTTCTCAGAAACTCAGAAAAAAAAAGAAATGGAAAAAAAAAAAAAGACAGGGGACAGAAGGGTGGCACTGGAGATGAGATTTATGGAGCTTTCCTAAGTGCTAGGCACTGTGCTAGGAGTACATGCACTTAAAAAAAAATGTATTCTTCATAACAATTCTGTGAGTGAGATACTACTATAAATCCCACTTTACAGGTAAGAAGATAAAGGCTTAGAGTATATTACAGCAGAATCAAGAATTTGTTTTTTGGTTTTTATTTTCAAAGGTCCAAAATTAATTTATCTATAAGTGTTGAGCTACTATATTCTTGGGTTTAGTTGCAGATCTGTAGCAAACGTAAGCATTGTTAACCATTTAAGCTAAGGAATTTAGAAACTTTTATTGTGTCACAATATTTTAGTCTCTTTAGTAATTTGTCTTAGGGTGGCTTAAAATATTCTTGTTATATATCCTTTTGCATAAACTCCATAACTGAGAACAATTATATTCAGGAAGTGCTAAGTCTATGGGAAGCAGGACATTTTTTATGATTGGGATGGATATATGGACCACGTGGCCTGGAAAGGCAAAGCCCCTCATTTAGTATTTGTTTAGCTTCTGTGTGCCCCTTCTTGATCTGGAGGGTCTAAACTAATTCTGTCCCTCCCAATTGGCCTTTATAATCTCACACACCCCCTCTTCTACGATAGTCCCTAGCCCTAGAGGGAAGATGCTTGCATCTTGAGTAACAAGGCATTGGCAGTGAGTAGCAGGTTGGGCCTGGTGGGATTCAACAGTTTTAAATCCTGGAGCTATCGGATAAACTTGCTATTCACCTAAAACTTGTCATGACTCAGTTTGTAAAAGACAACCGCATCCAAATTTCTTCTGACAAAACTGGAACTTGTTCACATGCCAAAACTTTAGTTGCTCTGTTAGGTAATCTAATTATGCTTGAGGATCAAAGTTTTGGGTAAAGCAGTTTCCATGGAAGTTTGATTTTAAAAAACCTTTTACCCTTTTTTCCCTTCAGTTTAAAATGAGATTTTTTTCAATGTTTACATTTTAGTTAGAACTGGCTGTGAGATCTCCAGGTAGCTTTTCAAATGGAGATATCATAAACAATGAGTTTATATCAACATTAGCAGAAAAAGTTAGCAGCAGGAATTTTCCTTGATGTAATTTGCCCTTTAGTAAAAACTCATGCACCAATATTGTCTATAACCAGCTGGAGCCCAAGAAAACCTGGTATGCCTTTGAACCTTTCCATCTACACAAATACTTGCAAGTAGAGGCGCCATAAACCAACCTGGGAGCCTGAAGGGGGGTCGTTCTCCTTCCTTTCCTCATTTTTCAAGGATTTATTTCCCATTTTCTCCATTCTTCTTTAAAAGAAGCAACTGAACTGTACTCTAGGGTTTGGTGTCATGGATCAGACTGTGCTGATTATGGGTGGGGACTTCTCAATGTTTCACCACTGAGTTGATCCCACCCTCTTGCATGTCGCAGTTTCTGTCTTTTGGGGTCTATACCTCCAAGAGGGCTCAAAATGCTGAGTGCTTAGCTCTTATATGTGTTTCCTGAACAAGCCTTATTTTAATTAATTTTGTTGGGGGGTTCCCTATAGGGTCACTCAGGCCATGGGGAATCACCCCAGGAAACTCCCACTCAGGTCCCCAGTCACTCAGGTGTGCCTTTCAGCTATGCGGAGAGATAAATGAGAGACTGAGTTCTTCAGCCCTGAAGAGAAAATGCCCTTTCTCTTCAGGGCTGAAGAACTCAGTCTCTCATTTATCTACAAACAAGACAGTTCAGTTTCCTCTTTTACAAAAAAAGCCAATTGAGATTAATTTTAGGATGAAAGGGCAATGGAGAAGACCCTTTAGAATGCACCTCCAAATCCCAATTAGGATCCCAAGCAACAAATACCTAGGAAAGAAGCAACTCAGAATAAACCGGGACCACCAACCAAAAAACGGGAGGTCCGGAGCTCAGAAGGACTTACCAGTTCTGCCCAAGGAAAAGTTCGGAGTCAGAGGGCCATGATGGTACCTGGTGCCGAGTTTGGGCTACTCCTTTGGGTGTTCTGAGTCTTCTCTGAGCCTCACGTCTGGGTGCCAACCTTTGCAACAGAAAAGAAGCCAAACTTTGTAAAGTAATTTAAAGAGGTTTACTCTAAGCCAAATTTGAGGACCATGGCTCGGAGCCACGACCAAGAAGTCTTGAGCAAGTGGACTCAAGAACTTGTTTTAATCACAAGAAACCATTATGAGCAAAAAAAGGCCATGGAGTGAAAGAAGGCATTTGGAATGCATATGTCCCTTAAGGGTCTTCTATCTAAAATATAAAAAGAAGTCCTACAAATCAATAAGAATTAGGCAGACAACTCAGTGATCAAGAAACTCAAATAGACACTACATAAAAAAGGATATCCAAATAACTAATAAGAAATCACTATGAAAATAATGCAAATAAGGGCTGGGTGCAGTGGCTCTTGACAGGGATTGACAGGCCCTTAGAAGAGTCTTTCTATCTGCATAAATCAACTGAATTGATCAAATGGTCAAAGGGGTCAATTTACTTCCCTTCCTCTCCCTGTTATCTAAATATATTGCAGAATTCAACCTGACGTATCCTGAGTCATTTAAAACATAATTCCTGTCTTACAGATTAATTTACAAGTCAATCTTTTTCTCCCATCCATTCATCCTCCCTAGCAAATGTTTATCACCCCTAAATAGAATTACCTATACTTCTCATCCCCACCCCTTTAAAAGGCATCTGTAAAAATATCTGAACTTCATTGGAATGTTGAGTAATCATTCTGTGATTCTCCTCATGTGCATGGTAAATAAACTTTTCTTTTATTAATCTGCCTTAAGTGTGAGTTGATCTTTCAGCAGACTTTTGGGGGAAAAGGCAAATTTCTCCTGACCCCTACCAGAGAAACCCAAAGAAATTCACACCGAGACATATTTATAACCAAACTTCTGCAAACTAAAGACAGAGAAAAATCTTGAAAATAGCTACAGAAAAATGACACATTGCCTACAGGGGAAAACAATTTGAATGACTACTGATTTCTCATAGAGGGCAGAAAGAGCGTCATGATACTTTTCCAAGCTAAGAGAAAATAACTGTCAGCCTAGAATTCTATACCCAGGAATAAAGGTAAAATCAAGATATTCTCAGGTGAAGGAAAATTAAGAGAATTTGTTACCAGCAGTCTTATCTTGAAAGAATGGCTAAAGAAAAATCTTAAAACAGAAAGAAATAATAAAAGAAGAAACTTGGAACTTTAGGAATGAAAAAATAACAATGGAAAGAATAAAAATATGAAAAAATATAATAGATTTCCTTCTCCTTTTTAGTCATTCTGTGAATGAAAAATGGTGCAGAAACCCACAGCACATAAGAAGGAAGGGCCTATGTGTCCACAGGAACTTTGATACCAAAATCAGGCAAACATAGAAAAAGAAAGTTATAGACCAGTATCACATATGAAGATAGTTGCAAAGATACTAAATGAAACATTAGCAAATCAAAACCATCAGTGTATTAAAAACACACCATGACCAAATGGCACTTATCCCAGGAATGTGAGAATGTGCCAATATTATAAAAATTTATCCATGTAATTCATCACGTTGATTTAATGCAACATGACATATGATCACCTTAGAAGATATGGTAAAAACTTTATAAAATTCAATACACACTCATAACTTTACAAATTTGTAGGAAACTACAGCAAACATTATACATAATGCTGAACCTTTAGAAGCAATACTGTCTACATCAGGAATAGGACAAAAATTTCTCCAGTCACTGATAGTATTCATTAATTAGTGAATTAGTGTCATAACCAAAGCAATGAGACAAGAAAAGTATATAAGGTGTATGTGAATTATAAAAGGAGAGATAAATTATTATTTTCAGATCATATCATGGTGAACATAAAAAATCCAAAGGAATCTGCAAACAAACTATGAGAACTAAGCAGAGAATGAGCAAGGATTCTAGCTGACAACCGTAATTGTATATTAGATGTTTTTATTACTTGGATCACAGGTTGACAACTTGTTTACTAATTTGAGCCAGTTCAATTAAGAGCCAGAGAGATGTTTTCCCCAAGGTTATACAGCATCTTAAGAGAGCCAAGACAGGAACCCAAATACTGTGACTTCAAACCCAGTGATTTTCCATTATGAAGTATCACTCATTTGTATACCATTCTAGTACAAATGTGGCAATAGTAGAAACAGTAGTTTTATTTTAATTAATTAATTAATTTATTTATTTTTGAGACAGAGTCTTACTCTGTTGCCTGGGCTAGAGTGCCGAGGCGTCAGCCTAGCTCACAGCAACCTCAAACTCCTGGGCTCAAGCAATCCTTCTGCCTCAGCCTCCTGAGTACCTGGGACTAAAGGCATGCACCAACATGCCCAGCTGTTTTTTTCTATACATTTTTTCAGTTGACCAGGTAATTTCTTTCTATTTTTAGTAGAGACAGGGTCTTGCTCTTGCTCAGGTTGGTCTTGAACTCCTGAGCTCAAACCATCCTCCCGCCTCGGCCTCCCATAGTGCTAGGATTACAGGCGTGAGCCACCACACCCGGCCAAAACAGTAGTTTTAAAATGTTGTAATTTTGATTCCTGAAATTCTTGAGTAACAGAATGAGAATAGACAGGAGCTTTTCTGTAGAAACTGACCTAGAGGTGATTTTGGA